TCATCCTACCACGCTCATCCTACCACGCTCATCCTACCACGCTCATCAACAGGTTAACACACAAGTGAGCTTAATATTAGGCTAGCCACTGTGGAGCAGGTTATTCAGAAAAACAAGAATGACGATTATACTTACAAGAATCTGAAATGTATAACAATCTGGGATTTCATGGTTGATAATGGTCTGAATGTTAATGGCCTTCAGTTTAAACCGTATGGAGACATCTATTAGCCTGAGAACACAAATTCAGAATAAGTTTTAACAGGTTGCTTGTAACAGTGCAATTCTCCATTCCTCATCTGTCAGCTTTCACAGTGATTAGTCAAAATCTCCTAAATTCAATCCATGGTCAACTGTTGGCCCAGCTCAACACAGGGGTAGAGTGTGAAACTAGTCAGCAGCTTAGAGGCTGACTGTCGATGTCAAGGCTTAGACTGTGTGGACCATCACTACTAACAGGCTGAGAACAATTACAGATCATGTCTGAGGCATGACATGAAATAGAATACACTGCCCAAAAGACACATTCAATGGTATGTTTTGAAAAAGTATCCAAAAACACTTAAAAGGCGGATGCTGGCACATCTATGGAGAAAAAGCAAGGGAGTGGGGCAAACTGGTTCTTGAAGAGCTGGCAAAGACAGAATGGCTCCTGGTGCATCCCACACAGTTCTATGGTGCCAACTTGCGAACAGTGAGCATTAAAGCAGAATGAAACAGCCAACAGCAAGTTAAATGTAACCATGAGTAACCCCTCCCTCACCTCTTGTCAGAGCCCTCACTCACAAAGGGTTATATTTCTCTTCTGTTGGCAGATTCTTCAGTTTCCCAGCGAAGTGTAATTATCAGCCAACTCTGGATGGCTCAACACCACACAAACACATGGATACACAAATCAGGAGGAGTAGGCCAATTGGCCTCTGGAACCTGCTCCACCATTTGATAAGATTATGGAGGATGTTCGATTTCAACTCCATATTCATACCTACACCTGATACCCTCAACTCCCTTGTTTGTCAGGAATCTACCTACCAGTGCCTTTAAAAAGTCAATGACCCAGTTCCACCACTGTTCTCTGGGCTAAGAGTTCCACAGATTCGTGACCAAATATTTCTCTTCCTCTCCATCTTAAATGCCAGACCCCTTCCTTTAATTAGATGCCCCCTAGTTCTAGTCTCTCCCACATGAGGGAACATCCTTCAGCAGGGTCTTGAATGTTTCAGTGAGATCTTCTCTCATTCATCCAAACCCCAGTGGATGAAGGCCCACCGTGTCCACCCATCCCTCAAGTTTACCTTCTCATCACAGAGGTCAGTTGAATGAACCTTTTCTGAACTGCTTCAAATGCAGATCCATTGGAATGGGATAATTAACTTCCCAGTTTGAGGCTCCGTTAAACGAAGTGTCTCTGGCCAATTAACTTTTAAATTTAAATAATTATACTACATCCTTGCATACATGCATATCAATTAGGAGCAGGAGTCCTTGGTCCTTCCAGACTCTTCCTCCATTCAATAGGATCATGGCTAATCCAACTCTAACCTCAACCCCACTTTCCTACATACCCCAATCACCTTCACCTCCCTTATTAGTCTCTCCTGACTCTCACTGGGATATAGGCCCCCTCCTATCCTCAGCACTCTGACAGGGCCACACATCTGTAGCTCACGTCTAGTGCCCAGGACAGAAATGCGCTGAGAAGTTTTCCAACTGTGGATGCACCCCAACACCATACCCTCACTTGGTTGTCCCAGTTTAACAAAACACACCAGGGATTGAAGGAGATGTTGCTTCAGTTTACTCCACATGGGGCAGTTCTTGCTAGCAAGTCACTGAAGGCTGCATCAGTGACTTCAACAGCACTGCCAGATCATCATGGAATGCTGTAGCTGGACAGAAAGAATTGAGAGCAATGCTGCACTCGCACCTCCAGTACCTGAGCCAACTCGGTTTTCGAACAGCTGTGTCAATAGGGAAATCCAGGCTAAGTTGGAGTTGGGGTAAAGGCTATAGACCTGTACAGGAGCAGGATAAGAAGAAAGCATGGATAGATCAAGGCACATAACAACTAATAAAATAATTTGTGTGAAATCTTCTTACTGAGAATAGTTGGTGTTGTGTTACATCTCAAGTGTACATTGTCAGCCTTTAACAAAGATGCTCATTTTCCCAATCACAGTGTGTGACCTGAGGCTGTAACAATCTCAATCTATCTTACTTTGGATCAATTGAAGCATGATATTCTACTGAAAGCATGCTCCTTTGCTGTAACCCAATAGCTTAAAAACAGCCTTGACACTTGTGTGCCTGGGAAATGTAATATTTGTATGAAACAGTAAGTTGTAAGAAAGCTTTGACAATGTAACACAGCGCAATTAGATATACACAACTTAAAACAGGTTACTTGGCCCAAAACACACTCAGTGTTTGCCCTCCAAGGCAGCAAATGATCCTAAATGCTGTGTTTGTTGCCACCCGAACTGCAGAGGGCACACTTAATCCATATAGTCGCAGTGTAACAACCAGTGGGAAGCAGTTGGTGCTATGGTACATCTTTTAGAGTATTGCAATTGGTCTTCAAGAAACATGCTTATGGTATATCACACTATGATCTGAGGTTACCAAAAATCTTTCTCCATCTTATACCAAATCACCTGAAATATGACACTCTATTGGGAGCATATACTTCTGTTGTAACCTAGTGAGTAAAGACACTCAGTGCCTGACTGTGGACCTCAGAGTTCAGCTACTTGTTTAGAGACTCCCATTACAAAGTGTAGGCTTGCTTTCTAACAATAGCAGTGCCTGCTACAATGAGTAGGAATGACGGGAGCAGCAAAGGAGGCAGTAGGACGGCTAGACACCAGACACAATGGACACATTTCTTCTATTTCCAGCAGATTACAACTGCACAATGATAGTATCAATGGCGCTAACTTCCTATTACAGTGCGTTGGCAGCAGATACACTGCAGTCGTGGTCATATGGGGAAGTGATAATTTGGCGGCATTATCACTAGACTATTATTTCAGACCCGGAGTGTGTTCTGGGGACTCAGGTTTGAATCCTGCCATGGCACTGGAATTTGAATTCACACTTGAACATGTGCTAACGGGTTCAAGAACAGCTTCTTCCCCGTTATTGGACTGCTGAATGGATCTCTGTAACTTCGAAAACTGTTGGTCTTGTTAATGCTAATCTTGCTTTGTGCACCTCCTGTGCAAAAGTTTCCTTGTATGCCTAGCTCTAAGCACCCTATGATCTGTACGTCCTTGTTTGCTATGATCTGCCTGTACTGCTCACTAAACAATGCTTTTCACTGTACTTAGGTACATGTGACTACAATCAAATCAGATCAATAAATATCTGTAATTAAGAGTCTAATCATGACCATGAAAGCATTGTCAACTGTTGGAAAAACCCATCTGGTTCACCAATGTCCCTTAGGGAAGGAAACTGCCATTCTTACTTGGTCTGGCCTATGTGCAACTCCAGACCCACAGGAACATGGTTGACTCATAACTGCCCTCTGGGCAATTAGGAATGGGCAATAAACTGCTGGCCCGGCTGGTGATGCCCACATCCTGTGAACAAATAAACGAATTTAGCCCCACCCAAATCTCATCTCCCTATATCCAGAATTCTCTTGAATCTTGTCACAATCTCTGCCTTGATAACTAAACTTAAAGCAAATCCTTAGCTGTGTGACTCCTTGTGGGATGTTCTCCTGCCCGGAGTTTGAATTCAGAGTTTAATCTGGTTTGTCCAGTTCTGCCTGGTTATATTTACACTGAGTCATCCTTTGATTTGAAATTCTATCCTAATAAATGGTAGTTTAAGAGGTTCGAATGGTAAAAGCAGATTGTCAGGCCCTTCCTTCTATCATACTTCCTCAAACTAGGCAATGTTGAAAATCTACATTACACCCATTAAAACCGCAGGATCCTTCCTGCTGTTCAGAGTTATTCTAATTCAGTTTTATACTGGCTTTTCTTTAACCCTTGGTGTGAACAATGGTACTCCATTATCAAGCAAGCTGGACTGAACAAAACAAAACAAAACAAACTCGATTGTCAGTTTTAAAATGAGAATGGCCTTACTTGTAGAATTTTAATGTGATGTTCTTGTATTGTGGCGTTTCTCTGGGATCGACGTGTAAAGCGGGACTCACATGCACACACTCTGGAAGAAGAACGTTAGAAATACACTGCATGAGCACCTCTAGTCTCATCCATCACGGTTAATGTACTTTTTTTCCAAAGATTCATTCTCTAATCAACCTGGTCAGAGAGATGTTATTACACACCTCCGGAGCAGGTGGGACTTGAACCCAGGACTGCCTAGTCCAGAGGTAGGAACACTATCACTGCGCCACAAGAGCCCTAGAATACTCAAATGCCAGGGAATTATAGATATTTTCTAATCAACCTCTCAGTGATGCTACTGCACATTTCTGAAGCAGGTGGGACTTCAACACAGGCATTCTGGCTCAGGGGTAGGGACACTGTGCCACAAGAGTCTTCTTGTTTCAGGTCAATGACCTTGCAATATGGAGATAATTTTCTAATCAACCTGCTCAGTTATTACACAGTGCTGAACCAGGTTGAATCTCCAGAAGTAGGGATGTTATCTAACCCTATTGTATCACAAGAGTCCCCCTAATGAATCTCAATGATGCCAAGGTTAAATAGAGACACAACACAGTGCCTGCTGGTACTACAGGCTTTCCACAACTGTTTGGTTTGTGTGCACTATTGTCAGTCAAAATAATATGAATTTATTTACTTTTCTTTGATACTGTTGATGGATTGGTTCCATAGTCAGCCATACGGCACAAAAACAGACCCTTCAGTCCAAGCTGACCATAATCCCAAACTAAAACAGTCCCACCTGTGTCCGTTTGACTCATATCCCTCCAAATATTTCTTATTCATAAAATGTCTTTTAAACATTGTACCTGTACCTGCATCCACCACTTCCTCAGGAAGCTCATTCCACACACAAACTACTGTGTAAAAAATATTGCCCCTTGTGTCTTTTTTTTAAAATCTTTCACATCTCATCTTAAAAATATGCCCCCTAGTGTGGAAATCCACCATCTGCAGGAAAAGACACCTTATCTATACTCATGATTTTATAAACCTCTATAAAGCCACCACTTAACCTCCAGTGAAAAAAGTCCCAGCCTAGCCTACGTTTCCTTATAATTTATACACTTCCCAGCACCATCCTGGTAAATCTCTTCTGAACCCCCTCCAGCTTAATGATATTCTTCCTATAACAAGGTGGCCCAGAACCGACCACAGTATTCCAGAAGAGGCCTCACCGATGTCACGTACAACCTCAACATGACGTCCCAACTCCTATACTCAAAAGGTCTGAGCAATTAAGTTTGTTTGTTAAGTGATACTGAAAAGTCTATGAACAGAGATTTGAGAGACACTGTGTTGGTTCAGAAGGAGGCAGGTATTTGTAATGTTCCAATCTGTCAGTAAACCTGACATTAAGTAAAAGACTGGGTACCTTACCATCTGGCTACAGAAGGGGTTAACTACTACCAGTTATTTAGAGATGAGCAAACGCTAACCTGAAGTTACAGCTTCTAATACACCACACTACCACTTCCTAAAGATTTTAGGTCCATTAATCAAACAGATAACACTGAGCACGCAACACAGGTCTGCCAAGAGCTGAAAGGAGATGCTAATGATTCAGGTACAACCTTCAATCTCAATTTTAATTTTAAAGGGCCCCAGTCCAAAGATGAAACATTTCTTTCAGCACTCAGTGATGCCGTGGTGACCACCCTGTTATTCCACTCCAGATTCTGAAGTGCTCCAACCAGAAACTCAACTTGCCTCTCCACTGCTAGTGGAGCAGCACAATGTTTCCAGCCTGATTCTAATATTGTGCGTGACAATAAGTGTCGCTAAACTTCCTCCGACCAATAATTCAAAGTTAAACAAAGTCCAAATCCACTTCCGCTCTATCAATCACAGCCTCACAACCCCATCAGCGACAGACACACATACATTGGGTGTACCTTGGAGCTCATACTGCCTGGGGGTAGTGCAATGGCACTCACTATTGGATGGTGCTGCTGTAGAATAGACACACGGTGGTGGGGGTAGGGAGGGAGCTGCAGGCTCAAATCCAGCCTATCACATTACTGCAGGCTGCTGCCTATCAGCCATGTTCCCTGACCCGCACTAGTTCCCCTGTTGGCAACACCTCTACTTCCAATGTCAGCATGGTCTTGCCCTCCTGCATCATTCTCAACTCTTCTCACCCTGCAACCCTCCGAGATCTCTGCATTTCTCCGATTCCGACCTCTCGCACAACCCAATGTCAATGTCAATCACTCCACTATTGATGACTGCCTGGAGCCTGAGCTCTAGATTCCCTCCTTTTAAGATGCTCCATAAAATCCATCATGTTTAACCAATCTTTAAGAGCCTGCACTACTCTCTTATAAGGACGCAAAGTGTCAAATTTTTGGTTGAGGACATTCACTCAGACTCAGTACCAAGTTACAAGCACTATGTAAGTGCAGCTGATTTATTTAGAAGTGATATCATCTTTGAAAAAGACTGGAGTTCTATATGGTCACCACCCCTCCCACTGAGATATGATGCCTTGCTGCAAGGAATCTTTGTAATTTCTCTGACACAGCAAATTAAATTCCTGCAGTTGAAGATGCTTTAAATTAAATTACAGCATAGAAGAGCTAACCTTCCTATGTAGAAGGATGAGAGCCTTTTCCACTGTTCCAGCTCTACAGGAGAACGAGGTGATCAGTGACCCACCAGCACCTTCCCATAATCCACAGGCCTGCCCCTGTCGCTTGCTGCCATGGCAATGTAATCAAATTAGAGTCCTAGAGTCATTCAGCACAGAAACAGACCCTTCAGTCCAATTCATCCATGTCAATCAGACAGCCCACTCTGACCTAGTCCCATTTGCCAGCATTTCGCCCAAATCCCTGTAAACCCTTCTATTCATGTACCCATCAAGACGCCTTTTAAATGTTGTAATTGTACCAGTCTCCTCCACTTCCCCTAGCAGCTCATTCCATACACACACCACCGGCTGCAAATAAAAAGTTGCCCCTCAGGTCCCTTTTAAATCTTTCCCCTCTCACTTTAAACCTATGCCCTCTAGTTTTGGACACCCCTACCCTGGGGAAGAGACCTTGGCTATTCACTCTAGCCATGCCCCTTGTGATTTTATGAACTTCTATAAGGTCATTCCTCAGCCTCCAAAAAGTCAATAAGTTCCAATGGTTTAAAACTGCTGCTGCTCCCCACTTAATTCAACATGAGAAGGGACTCTGCAGGCAGCCAGGGCCATGGGGCACAGGGGAGGGAGTGAGACAAAACCAGCTACATCAACACTGACTACGAGAGATGGTCTCTCACCTGCCATAGCCCCTTAGCCATCTGCAGGGTTCAAGTCAGCAGTGTGCTGGAAAACCCACCACTCATTTCAAGGGGTCAAGCAAAACGGTGCTCAAAAAGCTTGAAAATATCCGAGGCACTGCGGTTTGTTAATCAATGCCACTCATACCTGCCCCCTCCCCCAGGACACTGCATGGGCTGCTCCCACAGCAACGCCCAAGCCCATCACTTCCCATCGAGGTGGTGGAGGGAACTGCACCATCATAGGATCACTGTCAGCTCAGAGTTCTTCAATTCTCACATGATTCCAATGTTGACATGTCTCTGCCCCTTGATGGTTGGGTTAAATCCTGGAACTGCCATCACAGCAGGCAGGTGAGAAAACAGCCATCGACTACTCACGTGGGCACACAAGTGGAAGGAGACTGATGATAATTACTGGCCTTGCTAGAATTGTCCATATCCCAAATTTTGAAAAGTACGCAATGACAGGGAAGAAAATGTACACAATCACACACGCTCTGCAGAATGAAAATGGACATGCAGTTTAAAAAGCGTTAGTCACTGGTTTCACCAGCTACCACCTTGAATCTCTTACCTGTTATCACCCGCGGGTTGATGTTGAAGGTGTCATTTGCAGGATTGATGCTGCCCTTCTTATAAAAGCGCTGGCAGAGCTGCAGAGCAGTGTGATTCTCGTCACTGCTGAACACATAGGCATACCGTCCCAGAGTCAGGTTTTGCAGAGCCAGGTACTACAAGGGAGATAAAGTATCGGATTTGAGCTGCTCTGCAGTCGCGCATGGTCCATCCAGCCAATGCAGGTCCAAGATACCGCACTGTCAGGGACATTGAGCAATGTGACAGTACACAGTCAAAACGGCAGGGACACAAACTACAAATCTGAATCAAGTCATAAGCAGATAGGGGCAGGAGTTTCAAAATTGTATCAGGAGAAGGCTGATGAATAAATAAGAAACTTATATCCCCACAACAGCTTTCTTGAGAGCTTTACAGCAGTGAAATATCATAGGACCGTCATTGCTGTTGCAATGCAGAAATTCAGAAGGCTACCTGCATCAGAAGATCCCACAAACAGCAATGACCAACTTAATCTGCCTTAGTGATCAGGGCGTGGTTTACCACTAGCCAGGAGTCAGGTTTCATCGGTTACTTTGAAACAGAGCCATGTCTACTGGAGGAGCCAGGCAAGCCCAATTGTTTAACTCTGCATGAGTGTGTTGCCGCCCTGCGATACCCACTCGAGTCTCAGGATTGGGACAGGAGCCTTATACAGGCTCTTCCCCTCTCTCCCACACTACCTCGATGGTGCTGGCTCTCCCCTCAGTGTCTGAGCAGCATCACTACAGTGTCTGCACTCCACACCTACCAGCAATCGCTGGACAATGACTGGAGATAGGAAAAGGAGCATATTTATTCTGAATCGAGGTTAGCTTTGATTGCCGAGTCCACTTTGATAAGCCCTTGTCATTTGGGCAATGCCTTCTCCTTACCATTGATAGCTGTGCTTTCAACTGCCGATGCCATCACCTCGAATTCCCTGCTTAATCTAAAAAGCCACTTCTTCAGCCAAACCTTTGTCCAGTTCTTGCAATACTCTGCTTCAATTCACAGTCCATTTCCATCCTGTCCTGTGTGAAGCCTAGGCTTTCTTGCCCCATTTCTGCCATAGTTTGCCTTTAACACACACACATCGAACAAACAGTTCAAAAGAACAGGGCTCCTGTGGAGTCTGGATATCCATAAAATTCAGCATCCCCAGAAGTACAGGAAGGAAACTCAACAGCAACATAAAAGACTAAGAGATAACACTCTGAGCCAGTGTTGTGGGCATCACCAACATACAGGCACAAGATCCTAAATAACGAGTGAGATTAATCACCTGTTTTCAGTGATACTGACTGAGAAAGGAACATACTAGGATTCTGGAGAAATTTCTTTGGGATTTCTGAATCCTGATGACAGATTTGTTTATTGAAAAGATCCACCTGAACAGAAAGGCTGATGGCAAACCCAGCCACTTCCTTCTATACTGCACTCAGGGACAGTTTGATAGCAGACAAGTGCTGGGGTGAAATTTGAACCCTCAATCTTGCAGGCCCAATCTACAAGCTGAAGCTGTTTAAATCATCCTGATGCTGCAGAAGGACGCCAGCAATTTTGCATTAAGCGTCTTGGGGTAGGGGTGGCTCAGGGAAAACACTCAGGATTCCAGCTCTAATTGAACATTCAACTTGACATTTACGCCATAATCCCACTATCAACATCCTCTGGGTTATCATTGATTAGAAACACAACTGGATTTGCCACATAAACACAGTGGCTACAAGAGCAGGTCAGCTAGGGATACTGCAGCGAGAAACTCATCTCCGAACTCCCCAAAGCCAGTCTACCATCTGTAAAACACAAGTCAGAAATGTGACGGAATACTCCCCAATGGCCTGGATGGGGGCAGCTCCAACAAGACTCAAGCTGCTTGACACCATCCAGGACAAAGTAGCCCACTTGTTTGGCATCACGTCCAGAAATCTACTCCCTCCACCACCGCTGACGTTCAGTAGCAGCAGTGTGTAGCATCTAGAAGATGCACTGTAAAAATTCAAAGGTCCTTAAGTCAGCACCTTCCAAACCCACAAATCACTTCCTTCTAGTAGACGGGCAGCAGATACATGGGAACACCACCACCAAGTTCCCACCAAGTCACTCAGCATCCTGACTTGGAAATATATTACTTTGTTCACTGTCACTGGGTCAAAATGCTGAGCTCCCTCCCTAAGGGCATTGTGGGTCAACACACAGCAGGGTGAGCTACTGCAGCTCACCATCACCTTTTCAAAGGCAATGAGGGACAGGCAATTAGTACTGGTGCAGCCAGCGATGCCCAAATCCCATGGATGAATTAAGAAAACCTGCATCTCCAGGAGAAGGGCATGTGAGAGTACTGGGGGAAAGGACTGGATCATACCCAGTAGGCACACCCTGTATAGCTCAATGACAAAGAGGAGTAAATTGGCGTAACATACAAGATAGGGCAAGGTAGAACTTGAATTCTTCTTTCAGATTTCCAGAGATTCTGCTTTTCATTCATGCTCATTTAATTACCACCTCTCAACCAGGAACATGCACTTTGAAGCTCTGCCATCCTCTCTGATGGGATGTTTGTTTGCATCTTTCAGCTCATTCCCCTTCATTGTCCCTCACTGGCCCGCTAAGACCAGCTGTGTCATTGAATGTCTCTCGCCTTCCAAGACACCACAGTCACTTTTCTCACCCAGTCTCACTCAAAATCTATTACATTTTTTGTCCTTCTCCAGTTCTGATGAGAGATCATGGACTTGAAATGTTAATTTTTGTTCTCTCCCTACACATGCTGTTGATTATTCCCAGCATTTTCTTCCTTGAAAGAAATTACCTGCTCTTTGCTGTCTGAGAGAGCTTGTTGTGTGCAAACAAGTTGGCCCCTTCCTCAAAGGACAACAATTACCTTTTAAAAATTACTTAGTTGTCTGCAACATGCACAAGGATGTCCTGAGCTCATGAACGACAGTCTATACAAGCAAGCTCCTTCGTTCAACAAGATACAATCTTGTGTTATTATTTTACAATATGGTATTTTTACCCTGTTCAACTTACATGCTGAAATATCCATTTGCTTCGTTAGTTGCCACCAGAAAGTTCAATTTGGCAGGTTAACGGGAAGAGAAAACTGCAAAGTATTCAAACCATAAGAAGAGGAAGAATGACAGCTACTAACCTGTTCAACAGTGTAGAAAATAGAATCATAGACATCCTTCTGTGTATACACAGCGTAGGAATCATCCGACCCATCTGTGTAATCCTTCAGGAAGAGGTGCTTAAATGTCATTGTGTTTTCTTCTGTAAAATCTACCACCATTTGGTTACTCAACCCAAACAGGATCAACTGTGGAAAACAATTAGCAAGAGGCATCAGACTCTGTTAAAAGGGCTCTGTCATTTGATATTCTAGCTTAGATTGTAGCTCAGTTGGCAGCATTCCATAGATGTTTGTGGGTTCAAATCCCATTCTTGGGGCTTGAGCACAAAACTAAAGGCTGCCACTCCATTACTCCATAGTACCGCGTCGTATTGTCAGATTGTGCCACCTTTCAGATGTGGCATTTAACAGAGGTCCCCTTCTGTTCTCTCATGTAAGTGCGTAAAAAGAAAACTGTCCCTCAAAGAACAGAGAGATCACATGAGCTTTTTCATTAATTTTTCATCTTTCAAGTCAACATCACAAAACCAGGTTATCTGGTCACTATCACATTGCTCCATCAAATGGGATACAGCAGTTCAGGGAGGGAGCTCACTGCCACTTTCCCAAGGCTAACTCAGGACTGACCCAGCCAGCAGCACCCATATCCAATTGAATGAATTTTTACAACGTGGATCTTGCTGTATTGCATGCATTATAACTGTGACTACACTTAAAGTATTTAATTGCCTGTAAGGTGCTTTGGGGTGCCCCCATGGTCACAAAAGACAGTATATACCAAGTGGGACAATATCTAGTGGTTTCTTCACTGGACTATTAACCCGGAGACCCAGGAAATATTCAGGGACCCGGGTTCAAGTCCTGCCATGGCAGATGGTGGAATTTGAAATCAAAAACCTGGAATGACAAATCTAATGATGGCCAGAGATTCATTGTCAATTGTCAGAAAATCCCATCTGGTTCAATAACGAGCTTTAGGGAATAAACTGTTGTCCTGATCTGGTCTGGCCTCCATGTGACCCTACACCCAGAGAAACGTGGTTGACTTTTGCCTGCCCTCTGGGCAATTACGGATAGGTGGTAATAGGGGGTGTTGCTGGTCAAACCACCATCTACATCCCACGAATAAATAATAAAACAATACAAGATTTATTTGTCTTTATAGGAAGCAAACATGCACAGGTTTGACATCCTAGGTGATGCACAGCCATAGCAGGAAGGTTGGCTATCGGGCAATGGTCCTGTACTCCACTAACCTAACAACAGCACGTGCAATAAATCATTGCTTCCCCACAGGGACCCCGTAGTGCAGTTTGAAAATTGTTGTGACCCCCCAGTGAGAACGGAGGTGTCAGGGAGTAGGGGCCAAGACAGCAGCACAGTAGCTGTTTTAATTCAGTCTGCAACAGCTAATGCTGCCTGAACTTGCGATCTCACCAGGGCTCCCAACCCCCAACTTTTGGAAGCCCTGCAAGACTTGCATCACCACCCTGAGCCAAAAGAGAGAAGCAGACATCCTGGGGTCAACTTTATCATAGTCAATGGTTTCAAAGTTAATCTGATTAATTCACCTCATCGTTATCTTTCAGAACACGCTGTACCCAAAGGAGCGGATGTGTACTCCACAAGGCAATATTGAATACTTTTCACATGGTTGTAATGGAACGAAAGACACAATCGTACTAAAGACTTCCACTCCAGAATGATCTGCACCCCTTGCCAACCAGAGACATGGGAACATCATCACCTGCAAGTTCCCCTCCAAGTGGCACACCATCCTGGCTTGAAATGATATCACCGTTTCTTCACTGTCACTGGGTCAACTGGAGTTGCCTTACCATGCTGTGTCCTACATCCCTCAGACTGCAATCGTTCAATAAAGCACCCCACTACCATTTTCTCAAGCAGCAATTTGGTTTGGGCAATAAATGCTGGCCTTGCCATTTGGTGCACACATCCCATGAAAGAATTTTTAAAATCTCAAATGGTAATTTCCGCTCATCAGCATAAATTACCACAAGCAGTCGATTTGTGCAGTTTGAGCAGTTTGTTTTTACAAACCATTGTTTCTAAACACCCAGTTATGGCACTTTGACACATTACCAAAACACCTCAAAGGACTGTGGATATTGAATTACTGTCTCAGTGCGCGGTCAGTGGTAACAAACTACAATATCACCCTAATAGAGGTCCCCATTTTACAGGATGCAGGAATGGAATGAAAAGACTATGTAGAGAGGAAACTGGCAATGAACAATGTTACTCGTGAGATCAGTTATATGACAGCCCTGACAATCTTAAATTGATTTATTGCAATAAAAAGCTCTGGGAGTTCTGCCAGGTACCTGGTAATTACCCCGTTGCCAAGTTCCTGCTGTTATTAGCTGGGAAGCAGGAGCAGCAATACAGCAGTAAATCACTGCAACTGGCTACTGAATCAGAAGACAATTGAGACTTACATTCCTGCTCCTTCTGACTCACAGGAAGACAGCTCACTCATCCAACATTGCTGGAATAGCCCTGAATCAGGATTAACCACAGGTAGACAGGGAGGAGGCAGCACTTGGCACACTTGCCTTTATTGGTCAGTGCACAGAGTATAGGAGTTGGGATGTCATGTTGCAGCTGTACCTGACATTGGTTTAGACCACTTATGGAATACTGCATGTAATTCTGGTCTCCAGAGAGCGTAGGGTTAAGTTGAGAGGGCAAAGATTTAAAAGGGATCTAAGGGGCAACTTTTTCCAAACAGAGGATGGTGTGTGTATGGGATGAGCTGCCAGAGGTGGGTGCAGGCGCTGGTACAAATACAACATTTACATGTCATCTGGACGGGTATTTGAACAGGAAGGGTTTAGAGGGATATGGGCCAACTGCTGGCAAATGGGACTAGATTCATTTAGGATATCTTTTCGACATGGATGAGTTGGTCCAAAGTGTCTGCTTCCATGCTGTATATCTCTATGACACTATCTGTGGCCCAACGCGGGGTGGTAATGTCACTAGTAATCCAGAGGCTTTGCTAATGTCCTGGAACCAGGAATTCAAACCCCACCACAGTGGCTGGAAAGACAATACAACATCTGGATTGAATGGTGATTTGGAAACTGCAAGTAATTGCCATAAAAACCCATCTGCGTTACTAATGTCCTTTTGGGAAGGAAGTACGCTATCCTTACCTGGTCTGGCCTACATGTGACTCCAGACCCAAAGCAACATGGGTGACTGAACTGCTTTCAAGGGAACTAAGGTGGGCAAAAAAATGATGGCTTCAGTGATACCCACGGATAGCAAAAGTATACAGTGAAGTCTGCTGGCACACACCAAAAAAATCACTGCCATGATCTCGCAAGAAAAGGCAACTAAATCCTTTTGGGCAGAAGTTGGCCTCAATCAGTCTATAGCCATGCTGACCAGGGTAGCCTTTGGTCAGGACATGATGACTGGTATTCCCAATTAGCAAATTACAACACGAGTGAGTTGGCCCTGTGACCTCGATACCGTTGTGTTTTTTTTATTCACTCATTGGACGTGGACATCACTGGCTGGGCCCAGCATTTGTTTGCCCACCTTTCATTGCCCCTTGAGAAGGTCGGGGTGAGCTGCCTTCTTGAACCGCTGCAGTCCATGTGCCGTAGGTACACACACAATGCCCTTAGTGAGAGAATTCCATGTTTTTGACCCAGCGACAGTGAAGGAACAGTGATATATTTCCAAGTCAAGGTGGTGAGCAGTTTGGAGGTGAACTTGCAAGGGGGTGGTGTTCCCATGTATCTGCTGCCCTTGTACTTCTAGGTGGTGGTGGTCATGAGTTTGGGAGGTGCTGACTAGCTTTTGGCATTTCTGCAGCGCATCTCGTGGACAGTACACACTGTTGTGACTGAGCGTCAGCAGTGGGGGGTGTTACACAATACATACGTGAATTTTCACCTTTATTGTGTGCTCTTAGTGAAATAGCAGCAGGAAATAATAGTAAGTGATGTTCTGATTATTGTTTAGTTTGCTTCCTTAGTTATTTAACAAACATTTACCATATTTAATAAATACATTTGCCTGCATGAGTCCATGTTTGACAGCACTGTGTCCGCACAACAGTTACCCTCCTATTGCCATTGACCTCATGTGCCAGTGCTCCTTGCAAGCACCATTCCCATAAACACTAGCCACTTTTTTCAGAAAAATGCTGGCTACTACTGGTCTGAGACTGCTTGGAGCAGCTCACCCAGGTTCCTTCAACAGCACCTTCCAAACCTGCAACCTCTACCACTCAAAGACACGGACAGTAGATGAAATGCACATATGAAATATGAGCAGGTGGCCATTTGATCCAGCAAGCCTACTCCATCATTCAACTATATTATGACCAATCTTCTACCTCAATGTCATTTTCCCCCCACACTTTTCCCCAATACGAGTTATTTTTAAATATTAAAAATATATCAATCCCTGCTTTGAACATGGCCAACAACGGAGTCTCCACAACCTCTGGGATACAGGATTCCCTCTGGGTGAAGAAATTCCTCATCTCAGTTCTAAACAGCATGCCCCTTATCCTGAAACTGGGTCCTCAGCCAGGAGAGGTATCCTTGCTGCATCCATCCTGCTGACCCCTGTAAGACTAGCCTATGTCTCAATCAGATCCCCTTCAACTCTAAATTTCAGACAGCACGGGACCAGTCTCCTAAACTATCATAAAACCACTCTCCCATCTCTGGGATTAGTCTGGTGAGTTTTGCTGGGTTTCTATAGCAGTTCTGGTCTCCCTGCTATAGGAAGGATGTTGTTAAAACTGGAAGGGTTCAGAAAAGATTAACAAGGATGTTGCCAGGCTTGGACGGTTTGAGCTATGGGGAGAGCCTGAATGGGCTGGGGCTATTTTCCCTGCAGCATCAGGGGCTGAGGGGGTGACCTTATAGACGTTCATAAAATCATGAGGGGCATGGTTAGGGTGAATATCCAAAGTCTTTTTCTCATAGTGGGAGAGTTCAAAACTAGACAACATAGTTTTAAAGGAGATAAAAGAGAGAGAGAGAGACGAAAGATTTAAAAGGGACCCGAGGGGCAACCTTTTCACACAGAGTACGCTGCCGTTATGGAATGAGCTGCCAGAGGAGGTAGTGGATGCAGGTACAATTACAGCATTTAAAAGGCATCTGATGGGTCTATGAATAGGAAACGTTTAGAGGTTTGTGGGCCAAATGCTGGCAAATGCGACTAGCTTAATTTAGGATATCTAGTCAGTGCAGACCTAAGGGTCTGTTTCTATGCTGTATTACTAAGCATACCTTCCTTAAGCAAGGAAACCAAAACAGTACACAATACACCAGACATGGTAAACCAATGTTCTATACAATTGCAACAAGACGCCTTCTCTCTTGTACTCACCAATACAATATTGCAATAACAAAGGCCAACACGCTACTCGCCTCCCTCATTCCTTGTTGCATCTGAACAAGGACACCAGATTCCTTTGGATATCAACATTGCCCAATCTCTCACTATTTAAGATATACTCTGCATTTCTGTTTCTTTCATCAAAGTTGATAACTTCACCTTCTTCCATCTGCCACATTCTTACCCATTCACTCAGCCAGTCTAAATCTCCTTGAAACCCCTTTGCTTCCTGCTGACAACTCACATTCCCACCTAGCTCTGCACCATCAACAGACTTGAAAATATTGTACATTTGGTGCCTACATGCAAAGTTTGGGAATAACGGGGGGCATGGGTGCTTAGTAATTTGTACAGGACCTTATTGAAAGCCCCCTGAAAATCCAAATACATCACATTCACTGGTTTAGCCTTGTCTATTCTGTTAGTCACAGCCTCGAAAATCTCCAGATTGATCAACTATGATTCCCCTTTTCATAAACCCACGCTGGCTGTCTAACCCTACCACTATTTTCTAAGTGTCCAGTTTGTAAATCATTTCCAGCATTTTTCCTGCCGACGACTGGCTGACATCTCTAGTTCCCAGTTTTCTGTCTCCCTCCTCTCATATACAGTGGGGTTACACTTGTTTCCTTCCAGTATGCTGAACCCAAAGAAGTTTGGAAGATGGCCATCAATGCATCTATTAACTCTACAGCCACCTCATTCAACACACTGCAACGCAACACATCAGGACCAGGAGATTTCACAACTTTCAATCCCATTAACTGTTCCATACTACTTTCTTACTAATGCCAATTCCTCCCAGTTCTTTGCTGCTCCAGTAGACATTGCATCTTCCTTGTGAAGACAGAGGTAAAGTAATTGCTTGTTTTTTTCTGCCATTTTCCTACTCTCAATTATAAATTCTCCTGGCTCTGCCTGTCATTGACCCACATTGGCCTGGGCAAATCTTTTCCTTTTTACAGAGCTAAAAAGCTTTATAGTCAGTGTTGATGATTTTTTGCTCTTTACTTCCATATTCCCTTCCTTTATCAATTTCTTGGTCCTCCTTCATCAAATTTTGAACGCATTCCAGGGCACACTTGCAACTTCCCCTCCAAACCACACACCAAGTTGACTTGGAACAATATTGCCAGTCCTTCACCAAAGAGTAAAAATGCTGTAACTCTCTCCCTACTCACATTGTGGGTACAACTCCATCCTGTTGACTACAACAGTTCAAGGCAGAGGCCCACAACCACTTTCTTGAGCAATTAAGGTGGGGAAGTAAATGCTAGTCTCATTAGTGATGTCCATAGGCATAATTAAAATGTAGCATCCAGTTCCACGCAGGGCAGTGCATCTGAAATAGTGTTTACAGCGTTGGTATGCTTATCCAAGGAAGGATATATCTGCCACACGGAGGGGAATGCAATGGAGCTCCACCAGACTCATCGCTGGCCAAGTCTCCTTAGCTGGGTGTCTCCCTGAGTACTATTTTAAAGGACAGGAGGCAAATCCTCACCAGAATCCTCGGCATTTGGCCATCAACTAAAAGACAAAAACCAAATTATCTGGTGATGACCACACTGCTGTTTGTAAGAATTTGCTTGATACAAAGTGGCTGCTTTATTTCTCACATTGCAACAGTCACTACCCATCAAAATTACTACACAGGATGCAAAGGGCATTGAGTGTAAGTCACCACAGAAATGCAATGTGTTCCTTCAAGCTCCTTTCTTTAGATTTCGCAACATAGTACATTATTGTAATTAATTCCTCATGATGAGAACATATAACATTCAGTTAGCCAGAGCCTGACATTCAGGAGCTAAACTCATTTCCTTAATCACTATAATCAAAGAATTTAAGGTCTTGAGCTTGCCTTCATTGCTCAGACCTTTGAGTATAGGAGTTGGGCATCATGTTGAGGTTGTAAAGGATGTTGGCGAGGCTTTTTATGGAATACAGTGCACAATTCCGGTCGGCCTATTACAGGGAGGATATTATCAAGTTGTAGGGGATTGAGAAAAGATTTACCAGGATGTTGCCAGGTATGGAAGGTTTGAGTTATAAAAAATGGCTGGACAGGCTGAGACTTTTTTCACTAGAGTGGAGGAGGTTGAGGAGTGTACTTACAGAGGTTTATAGAATAATGAGGGGTATAGATTGGGTTAATGACATGTGTCTTTTTCCTAGGATGGTGGATTTCAGGACCATGGGGCATATTTTTAAGGTGAGAGGAGAGAGATTTAAAAAAGACATGACAGGCAATTTTTTTTTTTTTTTTTTTATTTTTTTACAAAGAGGGTTATTCACATGTAGAATGAGCTTCCTGAGGAAGTGGTGGATGCGGGTACAATTACAACATTTAAAAGACATTTGGATGAGTACGTGAATAGGAAAGGTTTGGCGGGATATGGGCCAGGAGCAGTCAGGTGGGACTAGTTTAGCTTGAGATTACGTTCGGCATGGACTGGTTGGACCAAAGGGTCTGCTTCCATGCTGTATGACTATGACTGAGAGGATGTGGGCATTGCTGATTCAGGTGCTGCCTTGATCTGGGCCAGCTACTATCTGGATCATGATTTTTTTTTTAAATGCGCAGGCAAGATGTGGGATTTATCCCTAGTAACCTTTGGGAGGGAATTCCAGGATTTGGACTCATTGATGGCAAAGAGACTTCAAATACCTGTCCAAGTCAGAACAATGTACGACAGTGATGGGAACTTAGAGGTCTCCTCCTAAATGGAGGAAATAACATTTATAAACTTGCGCATCTCGTCAACGTACAGACAAATAACAATCTCAGCTGGAATAGCTTTTAATAAGGCTCTGCATGGGACACTGACAGCAAAGGCAAAAGCCCATGGGATCCAAAGAAATTTAACACATTGGATCTACAGTTGTCCGAGTGGCAGGAAGCAGTGGGTGATGGTTGAGGGGTGTTTTTCTGACTGGAAGTTTGTGCCCAATGGAGTCTCACAGGGGTCAGTGTTGGGACTCTTGCTGTTTGTGGTTTTATATAAATGATTTAAACATGAACGTAGGAGGTTGACCACTCTGTTTGCTGATGATACAAAAGTTGGTGGGATGGCAAACAGGGTGGAAGACAACCTTTGACTATAAGACAATACAAATGGGTTGATCAGTGGCAAATGGAATTCAATACGGATAAATTTGAGGCGATGCACTTGAGCAGGACGAACAATACATGATGAATGGTAGGACCCTGGGAAGTGCTGAGGAACAGAGGGACGTTGGTGTGCAGGTCTACTGTTTCCCTAAGGTATCAGAATAGACGGATAAAGCGACTAAGGAGAAATATGGAATACTTGATTTTATTAGCCGAAGCATAAAATTTATGTGCAGAGAGGTTATACTGGAATTGTATAAAATGTTTGTTTGGCCACACAAGAATATTGTGTGCAATTACAGAAGGGGTGTGACAGCACTGGAGAGGGTGCAGAGGAGATTTATTAGGATGTTGCCTGGGACTGGAGAGTTTCAGTTATGAAGAGAGATTGGATAGACTGGGGTTGTTTTCCTCGGAGCGGCAGAGATTGCGAGGGTACATGATTGAGATATATAAAATCATGAGGGGCATGGATGGGGTAGACAGGAAGAAGTTTTCCCCTTGATGGAGAGATCAATGACCAAGGGGCATAGCTTTAAGGTAAGAGGCTGTAGGTTTACAAGAGATGTGAGGAAAACCTTTTTCACCCAGAGGGTGGTGGGAATCTGGAGCTCAATGCACATTAGGATGGGAGAGGCAGAAACCCTCAAAACATTTAAGTAGCACTTGTGTTCCGATACATACAAGACCACAGGGGAAGTGTCGAAAAATGGGGTTAGAATATTATTTGGTTGGCTTTGACTGGCACGGATGTGATGGTCCTTTTTCTGTGCTATATATCTATGACTCTAGTAGTGAATACCCTGCAACCATTCAGAGCATCAGGTTCCTTTATTAAATTCCGTCACAGGGTGTCAACAGCGTTGGCAAGGACAGAATTATTTGCCTACTCCTAATTGCCCTTGAGGGTCATTAAGAGTCATTGCCATTGCCGAGAGTCTGGAGTCACATGTAGATCAGACTGGTTAGGAACAGCAGGTTATTTTCCTAAAGTGAACCAGTCGGGTATTTATGACAATTTACAGGACTTTAGATTCTTTTTTGTTAAATAAACTGAATTTAAATTCTAGCTAGGGCGAGATCTGAAGTCATGTCCCTGCAGTATTACCCCGAGTCTCTGGGTTACTAATCCACTGAGATTACCACTAAACTCTCCTCTTTTTTAATCACAGGCTCCTCCAGAGTCCGTGTAGCTTCTGTTCCAATCTCACACGCAGCAGATTTCTCCAAGGTTACTCCTTACCTGCACTGTGACTACGATGAGCTTCAATATTTGTACGAGAAGTTTGAAGGGTTTCCGGCCTTTCGCTCGGAACTTATCACAGGGACTCATGAAGAAATATTTTAGTTTCCTCCTCAGCTCCTCCTCTTGCCCCTGGGATGGAAGGGTGCGCTGAGGGCCCACGACATGGACGCCGCCCTGGGAGCCATAGCTGTTCACCGGAGCCAGCAGCTTTGCAGTTTCTGAATGAGGAACAGAGAAGAAAAATGCTAATCAGGATCTGGAGTTACACTTGCAGTCAAGCAGCAAACGTTAGCAAACGTTTTTTTCTGAAGAAGGGTCCAGACCCAAAACTTCAGCATTCCTGCTCCTCTGATGCTGCCTGACCTGCTGTGTTCATCCAGCTCCACACTGTGTTATCTCAAACATTAGCCTTTGTGGTTCAGTCCAACTCCCAGCCTCCCACCACCTTTTGAGTGCCATTGTGTAAGCAGAGACACTTTTAAGGCAAGGGTGGATACATTCTTGATGAGTAAGGGAGGAGTGACAGCTATCGGACTAGGGGATAACATGCAATAAACAGAACAGTCACGAACTAATTAAATGGCAGAGCAGACCAGAGGCTTATTCCTACTGTACGTAGGTGACTCTATCCTTCACCCCTGCTCAGAGGAAACTGTTCCCAGATATCACCATCACCTCTTCTTGTGCCATAAGCCACGTCACAACAGTACAAATCAAATGGCTTTCTAAAGTCGCTAACAGGACCTCATGTGGTATCCGAGTCCAAAGCACCTTCTTCACTTGAAGAGTTAAAGATGGAGGGCTTCCACTTGAGGGGGAGGACAGGGGTTTTCACAGTTCCCTCATTAACGCTCCTTCCTCAACAAGTACTGATACAACATCCAGTCACTCGACGTACTGCTGTTTGAGAGTCATTACCAGCAAAGTGACTAAGCCATGAAAGAAACAGCTCACACACTGGGTCCAATGTACCATCAAAGTAAGGAGCTATGAGCGATCATGCAGCTGATTGTGCCATGCTTGTAGACATGCTCACTGTCCCTCCCATACATCCCACTTTAATAAAAATGTTTTGCTTGAAAAAAAGAAACAGGAGGCGTCAGACATTCAGTCCCTCTAGCTTGCCCCACTACTCAATAAGATCACAGACTCAGTTAGAACATGTACTCACCTTCGCTCCCACGCTCTCTCAATTCAACGGCATTGAAACATCTGCCAATCTCAGCTTTGTGTGTATTGTTGAGTGAGTAGTGACAGTCCTCTGGGATGGTGAATTCCCAGGTGCACAACTCTAACAGTGAGGACATTTCTCCCCATCTCAGGGAGCACAGCTTTAAGGTAAGGACTGAAGATTTAAAAGGAGATGTGAGGGAAAACATTTTCACCTCAGCGGGGGTTGGGAATGGGAATTTGGAGCTCACTCTGCAAGGGTGGGACAGGCAGAAAGCCTCATCACAACCAGAAGGTGTTGTTGTTTGTCACATACAGAGCGCAGATACTCTACAAAACAGTCTGAGTCTACGCTTGGTCTCACCGATGTAGAGGAGCCACATCGGGAGGAACAGATACAGTAAACCAAGTTTACCAGAATGTTGCTGGGTATGGAAGGTTCGAGTTCTCAAGAAAGGCTGGATAGGCTGGGACTTTCTTCGATGGAGCACAGGAGGTTGAGGGGTGACCTGATAGAAGTTTATAAATAATGAAGAGGTATAGATAGAGTTGATAGTAGTGGCCTTTTCCCTAAGATGGGGAATTTCAAGACTATGGAACACATTTTTAAGGTGAGGGGAAAGAGATTTACAAAATATATAAGAGGCAATTTTTTTTTTTTTTTTAAAAACACAGAGGGTGGTCCGCGTGTGGAATGAACTTCCTGATGGAGCAGTGGATGCAGGTACAAATACAACATTCTTTTTTAAAAGACAGTTGGATAGATACATGAATAGGAAAGGTTTGGAGGGATGTGGACCACGAACAGGCAGGTGGGACTAGTTTCGTTTGGGATTATGTTCGGCATGGACTAGTTGGACCGAGGGGTCTACTTCCATGCAGTATGACTGTATGACTATGACATTGAAGAAGTATTTAGATGTGCACTTGTGTTGCCATGGCATGTAAATTCATGGGGCAAGTGTTGAAAAATGAGATTTAAATAGTTAGCTGGTTGTTTTTGACCAAAGGGCCTTTTCCCGTGCTATTTAACTGATTCTAATAGTGAATAAATGGCCAATCCCTTCAACAGAGACCACGAACCTTCAAGCAACACTTGTCACAAACAAACATCTCAACGTAGTGTCATGAAGTATGCCGGAAGCCCAAACACAATCTTGGAGCAAAGCACATAAGCAAGCAAAAGGGCATTCTAAAAGTAGGAAAAATACGCAGAAGAGAAGGATTTTCTCAGACATTATACTAGCACAGGGTTAAAGTATAGAACTGCATACCTAAAGCTAATATTTGGTCAGATATCATGTTGCTATAAACTTGATTACATAGATACCAATAAGGAAACTGTGGACTAATTTTCAATCACAAGAACAACAATTATTGTAATCAGATTCCCTCCCATTTTCTAGGTATCTTAAGCTACTCCCTGTCCTTAAGCAGATTTAAGAACTTGCATTCATACACCAATTAGAAGCAATGAATTCCAAAATGTAGCAGATATAATACATAGCAAGACATCAGCGTCTCATATATATTGACTGCACTTAGCATCACGTGAGAGCAGTAAGTGAGGCCCACGGCTGGAGCTCAGCTGTGAGGTTCACCAGGTTCAATATGCTGTTATCACTGTATCCAGGCTGTCTCCTGCAGAATCTCAAGGAGAATGAAGAGATGATGACATATCATTAACATCACTGCATTAGGAATCCACAGGCCCAGGTTAAAAATGTGAAAACAGCAGTTCGAATCCCATCACAGCCCCTGATGAGATTTAAATTTGATTAATAAATCTAGAGATTGAAAGCTAATAGTGGTCACCATAACAACTACAAAAATAAAACAAAATCTGGTTCACCCATGTCCTTTATGGAAGGAAATCTGCTGCTGTCATCTGGTCTGACCAACAAGAGACTTCAGACCCACACCAACGCGGCTGACTCTTAACTGCCCTCTTAAATCATAGAATCAAAAGAATTCCTACAGTGTGGAAGCAGGCCATGCAGCCCATCAAGTCCATACCGGCTCTCCAAAGAGCATCCCATCCAGACAAACCCCGCCAACCTATCCCTGTAACCATGCATTTTCCCATGACTAACCCACCTAGCCTACACATCCCTGGACACTGTGGGCAATTTAGCATGGCCAATCCACCCTAACCTGCACATCTTTGGTCTGCGGGAGGAAACCAGAACACCCAGTGTAAACCCACACAGACACAGGAACAACATGCAAACTCCACACAGGCAGTCACCCGAGGATGGAATCGAACCTGGGTCCTTGATGCTGCAAGGCAACAGTGCTAACCACTGAGCCAAAACGGCCCAAAGAGCCACTCAGCTTGAGGGCAATTAAGAGTGGGTAACAAGTGCTGGCCTTGCCAGTGACACCCACATGCCATTCCTGAATAAAAGAAAAACATACTGCCAAGAACAAACAACAAAAGGAAAAGAACCCGAATAGCAACCCAGAGCTATTGCTACCCAGTATTAAAGCAGTTAGATCCATTGCATTTAATGAGGACAGTGATTAACAGGCAATTATGCAACAGCACACACTGCTCTCAGTTAGAAGGTCCCACTCCAGGGACTGAATACATCCGAGTAGACACTCCAAAAGCTGGAGAGCAGAGCGACAGTGGCAGCGTTGGACTGTTGTGTTTGCTGACCCGTCCATCGGGCAGTGAGCTCGGCTCCAAGTCATCCTCAATAAAACGGACAGTACAGCCAGTATGTAGGAGCAAATTACTGCAAATGCTGGAATCTGTACTGAAAACAAATGCTAGAGATCACAGCAGGTCATACAGCATCCATGGGGAGTGAGTTCGTCTTCAGAGCTGAAGTGAAGTGTGGAGGGGGCAGCATTTATAGTATAGTTGGGGGGGTTGTGGACAGGTTGGAGGCAGTGAGTGTAGGGTACTGGAGGAGAAAAGATGTTGATATTCTGATCAGTTAGTCTGAACTATGAGAATGGCAGAACAATGGTGTGTCTAATTGCCAGATATGAAAGGACAGAGTCTCGCCGGGATGGGACAGGAAAGAGGGAAAGGATTTGGTGACAGTATGTAACAAGTAAAGCTAAAAGGGAAGAAATGGGAGTTGGTTCACAATTTAAAGGTGTCGAACTCAGTATTAAGTCCAGAAGGCTGAAAACTGCCTAGTCTGAAGATGAGATGTTGTTTCTCCAGTTTGAGTTGTGATTCACTGGAATACTGCAGCAAGCTGGGGACAGACACATGGGCATGTGAGAGGACACTCTGTTAAAGTGACCAGCTATGGGAAGTTCGGGGTCATGTTTGCACACAGCGGAGGTGTTCCGCAAAGCAGACACCCAGTCTGTGTTTGGTTTCTCCAGTGTAGAGTAGGTCACATTGGGTGCAGCACACATGTAGAATGAACTTCCTGAGGAAGTAGTGGATGAGAGTACAATTTTGACATTTAAAAGACATTTGGGTAAGTACGTGAATAGGAAAGGTTTGGAGGGATATGGGCCAAGCACAGGCAGGTGGGACTTGTTTAGTTTGAGGTTATGTTCGGCATAGACTAGTTGGACCAAAGGGTCTGTTTCCATGCTGTATGACTCTATGGTGATACTCCATGGTGAATACAATACACAAGATTGGAGGAGTTACAGGTGAAATGCTGCTTCACCTGGAAAGGTGTTTAGGCCCTTGGACGGTGAGAAGGGAGGAGGTGAAGGGGCAGGTGTTGTACGTTCTGTGGTGACATGGGAAGGTGCCGTGTGGAAGGGGCGGGAGGTGGTTGTGGAATGGACAAGGGTGTCCCAGAGGGAACGATCCCTGCGAGGTGCAGACAGGGGGAGTGAGAGGAAGGTGTTTGGTGTTGGCGTTCTGTTGGAGTTGTCTGAAATGACAGAGAATAATCCTTCGAATGCAGAGGCTGGTGGGCTGAAAAGTGAGAACAAGGGGAACTCATCATAATGTTGTGAGCGATGGGAAGGGACAAGGGTGGAAGCACAGGTGATAGGTCGGATGCGGTTGAGGGCCCTGTCACCCACAGTGGGTGGGAAACCACGGTTATGGGAGAAGCAAGCTGTGTCAGCAGCGCTGTGTTGGAAAGTGGCATAAACCAAACAGATGTGACGTAGGCGAAGGAACTGGGAGAATGGGATGGGGTCCTTGCAGGACTCCGGAGATCAAGTCTCTGTTGTCAGGACTGTCACTGACCTCATTACCTCCAGAGATCTTCCGCCCACTAGTCCAACCTGGTAGTCTCCCAATCCTAGACAGCCCACTTCTACCTCCTTCCCATTCTTATATTCCAATAACTCAATCTGAACTATAACATCTTTTCTCCACTAGCACCCTACCCTAACATCCCACCCCCTCTAAGCTATAAGATAAATGCTGTCCCCTCCACACTTCACTTCAGCTCTGATGAAGAGTCATCTAGACTAGAAATGTTAGCTTGATCTTTCTCCATGGATGCTGTCTGACCCGCTGTGATCTCCAACATCTGTTGTTTTCAGGACCATACAGCCAGCTGCATCACATCTGTGGGTGAATGGCCGAAATCAAAACGTCACGCCTGCAAACCGCACTGGGATGTCCCAAGGGGGCAGGAGGCATTATGTAAACTTCAGGCCATTCTCATGTTTACTATCCCTTTTTCTTCAAATTCCACATCTACTGCAATCTGAGGGGCACCTTTGGAAAGAGAACAGGGCTTGTAAATAAAAACGAGAGAGAAGTTTCAAGTAAAGAAATGCATGCACCAGTCAAGGAATCAGTAACTAGTGTAAGTTTAATCCAATAGGAACACACATAGGAAAATGGTCTAGGCAATAGGTCACAAACAGCGCTGACAGGGGCACGATGAATCAAAAGGCCCTCCACAGCTTCAGGTTCCTTCAGGGAAAGTTGTTCCCAGCAGATATCTGGAGAGACAACTTGTACAATGATACAAGCAACAATGATCACAGGAATCAGGCAGCTGAAAGAAAAAAAAAATACTGCCTCTGAGGATTAAGAGTGTTTTGTACCAACTCTGTCCAGCCACCCTATAAACTTAATCCTCTTTAAATACTTGTGGAATGGATCGAATCAGCTGACCCTGGGAGACCTGATCTGGCACCGATGTCTCCCCGGTATCCCAGGATTACAGCAGCTTTGTGAAGCAGGCCAGAGAGGAGATAGAAATCTCAGTGGCCCAGTAGGAATTGAACTGCCTGGCGACAGCCAGTCAAACAGGTCCACAGAACCATAGGAAAAGTGACAGCACAGAAAGAGATCTTCCAGCCCATGATGTCTGGGCTGGGTGAATAAACTATCCATTCTAAAGCCCCTTACCAGCTCCTGGAAAACATATTGGGACTAAGGAGCTTCCAGATTATAGGGCCAAACCATGCCGATCACCATAAGTACAATGAGACTCAACACTCCCAGCTCGAGTTGCATTTGTTTAATAAGTATATATGGAGTTCTCAGCATAGAAACAGGCCATTTGGCCCAAGTAGTCTGTGCTGGCATTTAGGTTCCAAAAGAACATCTTCCTATGCTACCAACAAAACCACTGAATCCTTTCCCCTGGTGTTTGTCAGGCTTCCCTTAAAGGTGCTTGCAATTCGCTCTCTGCAATAGGGGACTCTATACATTACACAGAGGAAAGAGGTTTCTCCTGATTTGCCTGTTGGATTTATTAATGGCCATCCTGTACTTTCTTCCAGAAGCTGAATCCAATTTGTTCGGTTCATTTCATAAGAATTTTAGTCTTCCTCTTGCAAGCAGCAGTTTCATTCCAGGCTCATGTGGAGCACAACACAGGAGCCAGTCTCCTGGCTAAATTCTGTACCAGGTCCTTTACTCAGCCTCCAGCCAAGGTAAGAGGTACTAAGTGCAGCACAGCAATTCTGCACTGACTTGAGCACAGTCAGCAGGGGAATCTGAGACATGAGCTTGCATGGAAATGGAAACCAGAAGAGATATACCATACATTAAAATCATAGAATCCTTACAGTGTGGAAAAGAGGCCATTCAGCCCATCGAGTCTGCAGTGACCCTCCGAAAAGCATCCCAACCAGACCCATACTTCTACCCTATCCCTGTAACCCTGAATTTCCCATGGCTAATCCACCTAACCTTCACATCTTTGGACTGTGGGAGGAAATCCACACAGACATGGGGAGAATGTGTAAACTCCACACAGACAGTCGCCCAAGGCTGGAATTGAACCCGGGTCTTCTGGCGCTGTGGGGCAGAAGCACTAACCACTGAGCCACCATGCCACCCATAACCACTGAAGCAAAGTCCCTCTTGCTGCACCAGAGGCAGTGGCTAAGGTGATTAACTGGGCAGAGGGCACAGGGAAAAGTCAATTTTTATATGGAACCATCAAGAAACAGAAATTGGAACAGTATAATTAGAAAACAGCTTCCGTAAGATCTTCAGAATCCAGACCTTGGAACACTAAGTTGTCATCCACGATTGGCTGTGCAACATTCTGACATGCTCGTGGTCACGGTAGGTACAGTATAAATACAAGTGTTCCTCTCATTTACTATGGACTAGAGACCAGCTTTGCCCACTGTACTTCCTGATCAGTAGTTGAGTCACACTAACAAGACAGCCGTGTAAAATAAAAGACATTAAATTTCTCCATAACATCAGAATGCCACAAATCGCTCTGTAGCCAGTTGGCACACAGCAAGGCAATACAGTCAAAATCAGATTTATGCTCATTTTAGTGATGCTGCTGGAAGGCTAGATACTGGAGAGGATACTGGCAGAAAAACATCCATGTGCTTCTTCCAAACATGGATCCTTTACGTGCACCTGAGGAAGCAGATCACCAAGACACCTGCGACTGTGCGGCATTGGGGTACAGTCTGAATTATGCACTGATGTCTGTGGAACAGAATGACTGGAGTACAAGATGCTGAACACAGAAGCCATGGGCTGTCCAGAAGAGAAGACTGGCACATTCAGTCAGTTTAATACTTGGCAGCCACAGTGCATGCCATAATTCCAGGGACCAAGAAATTATCTGATACCTTCCTCTGTCACTCAGTCTACAAGCGGCAGTATTTGCACCAGTTTCAACTACTTGAGGGAGAGACTGGAGATGAGCTAAGGTAACCATCCTCCTGACTGGTAACCCAATTTTTCACCTTTCTAGCATTAATTGCTTTTGAATTAGGGATGAACAGATAGAAGGCGCTGTGAGATCATGCCCTGTTCACCGTATGTGAGCAATGAAGCAGAGAGAATCAAAGGCAGCAATTTAGCCACAAACCACCTCACGCAATCACACGCCTCAGGTCGTGTGCAAAGCTGCTTTGGTTTAAGTTCCTCTATCTTAAAGGAAAGGCTGACTCATTCTGAAGTGCAATTTTACAAACAACAGTAGCTTCTTCACATTGCACAAACACACAGAAGCTGAAACCTCAGACAGTTTCTTCCCACTTAGCAATCCCCGTCTTCCCACTTCAGCTGAACTGAGTGCAGAGTTTTGGCTCAACCAGGAGCCTTCCAATTCCAGCCTGCTTGGTCAAAACACCACTGGCAATTGTACCTTCCACTGCCTAGACCTCAAGCTCAGGGCCACCTCCTCCCCACCCCTCAAAAAAAGTGTGTCCTTATGTCTCCTGATGCAGTTCAACGTGGAATTTCTGACAAGGCTCTTTGGGATTTCCTGCTGTATTTTGAAAGGTGCTTTATAAAGGGCAAGTTGTCATTATGCAGCTCACTGCACCCATTATTCTTCAAGTCCTTCAATATTGTTGGGCAAGGTTTTAGGATAAGGCAAGAAAACATATGGAGGTGCAGAAAGTCAGGATTGAATAGAACTGAACAAGCTTCAGGCCCCTGTTCCCATTTTTCATATGTTGTCATCCTCATGAATCCAGACCACGCATCTCATAGATCCCTCTAAATACCCCACCCCCCACCACCCCACTAAACACACCAGATATACACAGGCTCCATCCACACATACACATAGGGAGAAGACAACTCCAAGGCGACTCAAACAGAACAAATTTTAGACCAGCTGTGATCTTAGCTGCTTCCAACAGACGTCCGAAACCACATGACTACGGGAGAGTGGGAGTAGAATGGAGACGAGGTCACAGAATGTAGAAAAATAAAAGACAATACCCTGAACAACAACTAGAAATGCCACAATCAACAGATTGGTTGACTGGTCACAGGGATTTAAACAACATACTCTGCGACAGCCATTCCACAACAGTAAGCGCAGGATACTAAGAGCAGAGCCCCAGATATCCCAAAACT